CACTTGAGATGTACTACTTAAAAAGTATCAACTGAATGTCACAAAAAAGAGTGCAAAGCATGCAGGTATTCTGCTTACAAAAGGCTAATGAAACTATCATTCACTTTTTTAACTAATTGCCATTGTAAGCAATTGGCTAGACAGAGACCAGGATTTCAACCCAGGAATGCACTTAGTGTGTCTATTGATAGTTTAAGGTTGTTGAGTGCAAGTCACCAGGGACTAGAAGTTCTGTGAAAAATTTAACTAAAAAATTAGACCCAAACGTAGGACTGGGATGCCCAAAACAAGTGTCTTCCCTGAGACCCTAGCATGCCAAAGGGAGCAGAAGTCAACACCAAGATGCTGCATGTTCAAATTTCTGCCATAAGCAGCTCTCCTGCAGTGCTGCTGATAGAAAAATTGCGATTTCCATTCCATCAATGCTTCCTTCTCAATTTTCAAAGCTCCTTTTCAGCACTTACTAACCAGCTGCTGTATTTGCAGAAGGTGGGTACCAAATACGTGCGTGCATACAGGCACACACCCACCTTTGCAGAGAAAGAGCAAGCACCTTGCACAGAATCACACTGGAGGCATCTCTCCTTACTCCCCCACAAAGAAACTTTGACCTGTACTGTGTAACTAATGAGAAGATGCAGTCATGTCCTCAAGACCCTCTACCATCAAGTACAGGTAAAAGAAAGGAATGTTTTTTATAGTGCCAAAGCCAAATGAGAAATGCATGATACTCTTCCAGTTCCCTGGTACACCCTCCCTAGATATAAGCATCTTTAAAAATCTCTTTCAAGAAAGAGAATTGAAAAAAAACCAGACATACTTCTATTAAAGTTTGGGGAAAAAAAAAAAAAAAACCAAACCAAAACTTGCTAAAGAGAAGCTGTTGCTATTTTTATTTATCAAATTAATCCAGACAAGAAAGAAAACCTTAGGTACACTAGCTCTGAATTAGAAGAGAGAGCTTACATAAAATACTACTCTGAACGCAACTGAGAAGAAACGCAACTCATCTTTGTGCAGCAAATCTTACCAGTACCAATTTTGTTTCCTTTTATTTATCATGTTTGCTTTTCATTGGTAGGCTAACGTGTCACAACTGAAATAGGACTAGTCAACAAGCCAGAACACATTTTGATTTTCATATGGTAACAAAGAGTGCTGTTACTTTATCTGTGTTTTATACTTGACCTTACTACTGGAATTACTCGATTAATTTGCAAGCTAACTAATGCTCCCCAGAGAGGTAAATTATAGAATATTTGAGCCTTAAACCCAGGAGCAAGTGGATGTAAAACCCTGCACGGGCATAATAACATGCACATCCAGCTGCCTCTTGCCTGTATTTGGCCTCTTTAAAGACACAAGACTGTTGGATCAAAGCCTGACATCTATGCTGGTGACTGTCAGTCCTCACTGATATCCGAGAAAGTGAATGTTAGTCTGGGAATGTAAATGGCGCCTCCAAATAATGCAGCACCTCTGAAGAACTGGATTGCATTGCCAGAAATGGCAAGCAGCCCAGTTCCTCTTCTGGAGACTTAAAATACTGATAGTCTTCTGGACATCAAAATACGGTCAAGCGAGTCATTCAGTAACAAAGAACGCAGTCTAAAGAGAATACTTTTGTGATGCAAAGCCAAGAAGAAATAGGAGATTATGCCTTATGTTCCTGTAATAGTGTATCTGCACTATACGTATGTGTATATACTTGTATATATGTACTATATATATGTGTATTTGTACCTGTTTGCAGGAGGACATAGGGGTAGCACAGGCATTGTGATTTAAAAAGCAGACACAACCTATTTTCCATGAAGCTGCCTCTCCAGTGCCGAATTTCATTCCAGCCAGTATGTGGATTTATTACTGCAACATAGACCCATCGCAAGACACATCTTTATCTACCTGTGAGGCTTTTGCATCAGGTCTCAAAGCCCAAAAATGGAAAAAACTTTCAGTGATTTCAGCGGCTTTTAACTCGGCTCAGAGAATAAACGTGAACCGAGGGCTGTAAAGGTTCCAGCTATTATGAATTACTGCAGTAATAAATTAGAGTTTACGTTTCAGAGCAGGTGGCTTGCTGAGGTGTTTGATGAATTCTTCTATTTACCACCCAATTTTGTACCTAAAGTGCAGGAGCTGTGGGAATCATTAACTTTCATAAGCTAAGCCTATAAACTGAACCTATGAAAAAGCTTTAGTTTTCAGCATTCAGTTTCCCTATTCCCTACAAGGATAAAAGTTGAGCTTGTGTGATAGCATGTGCCCGTTTCTTTTACTTGGCAGATTGAAAATAAAAACAAAAGTGCTGTTCTAAAGAGGCACCAATCTGAAGGCTATGGGAGTAACATCAGAACAGAGGTCCTGTTCCCAGTGGCTGGCTCCCTACAGCCTCTGCTACCAAATTCTCCATCCACAGACCAAAATGTCAGTATCACCCTTTTCAAACGCATGTCAATACTTATAGCTACAATTATACAAACCTCTTGTTGCGTTATACTACACAGCAGGATGAATCACTGATGGGTATTAAGGATGTGTATTACAGAACAGCATATAGTGGCTGTAGTTAGAGATCCACTAAGATAATCTCCAAACATATTTCAAAAGGTTTCCATTTTTAACTGCCTGGAGAATAGAAAATCTACACACGTGTTGCTTTGCTGCTAACATTTAAAGTAAGCAGCAAAAAGCAGAATTACTCTTTTACCATCCAGTGGTCTGTGAAGCCTGGAAAAGTGACTGGGACATCCCACAATGTCACATGACACTTCAAGTATGAAAATTTATGTATATAAAAAAGACCTAAGGGGCCAGTGCAAGGTTTTCTGCAACTCATTTTCCCAATACTTTTGTCTTAAGTTTACAGATCTAAGCAATAGTGCTTTTTAATTTGGACAAAATTTTTCTTCCCCTTGGTAGTCCTCCCCCTGGCAGCTCGTTTTTCTTGCTGTAAACCAAATTTTCCAATTCTCAATCTCATGCCATTACTCCTACAGTAGTTGTTCACCTAAGTAATTCATATTCCTCCTTAATGTTTAAAGTTTTCAAGTATTTTCAGATTTACTTCTGTTAGGTGTCTTTTAGTCAAATTAATATATGCATGTTTGCCTGCTCTCCTTAAATAACAACCAAATACGTCTGTAGGTTGCTTTTCCCATTTAGCTTTTTCTCTACTTGGCAACCTCTGAATAAGGTGTTTGTACCATGGGCATGCTGAAAGTTCAAAATGAGTGTGAGAGGGGAAATAAACATTAACAAATGTAGTTTTGTTTCAGCAGCTGCTGCAGTAAGGATGTTGATGACCCCAAGATTTAAATGATTAGGAGTTAATGTGATCAGTCCTGATTATGCTTACTTCATAACTGAATAAAGACTGCCACCACAAAGTTTGACAAAAACTTGTATTCAGCCCTCAAATTCTTTAGCTGGAAGACTAACAACGGTATTGGTTCTGGAGTATTCATAAGTGAGGCAACCTTCCCATAAGGAAAATGCAGATAATGTCACTTGACATATGAAGCTTATAAGGAACTTTGTAGCATCGTTGGAGAAAGCTAACAGAAATATTTTTTACAGCTGTGAAGAATGATTAGACACCACAAGTAAGCCAAATACATTATGAAACAATACCAGTGTTGTGTCCCAGTGCTAAGAAGGTTGAAAAGTTGGCCTTTGTACATTGGGTTTGAAGATGATGACCATATTTGCTCAAAAAAAACATTTGGATTGCCTTCATTACACATATCTCATTATTAAAAAGCATTGTGGACTATTTTAACACTGTGTATAAAACCAAGCTGTAGCTTAGAATAGTTGCAATTTATTTTGTACTTTGACTTACCACTTAATCTACAAGCTTTGCAAAATAGTAAAAAAAGTAGTAGAAGAAGTATAAGCATACAAGAAGTATAGCATACAGAAGCAACTTTATTTTGCTACTTGCCATTCTCAAACTTTAATAGCAGTACAAAAATATGAGTTGAAAGAGGGAAAACTTAGTTAGAGGATAATAGCAGAAAAGATGCACTAATTTCAGGTTTTATGCCCATTAAAAACAGGAACTACCACCATAATTTTTTCTTTTTTTTAATGTTTTATAAAATAGTTAAAGAGCTACTTCTGTGAAAGAACTGGAAGAAAGTTACTCTAAAAAAAGCCAGGGCATGTTAAACTAAATTAAACCACGAACTATTAGTCAGATGAAGCCAGCTATCAGCTATTAACACTGGCAAGTCCTGTCTTAGTAAGAGTATAAAAAAAATTCCATTTTGGTAAGACTATAACTGAAGAAAACCTAACAGTTGTTCTAAGTAGTGCTACACGCCGAATTTCTCATGGGACTACAGATGTGTAGCAAATGTGCCTGTGTTTGCAAGACTCGGATAAGGAATATTCTTGATCTTTTAAACTTCTTTGAGAATCCTTAAACAACTGTATTTCCAGGGGGGAAGGGGATTTATTGTCCCACCTCTTTCCCCCTCCCCAAAGTGACATTTCACAACCAGTTGTCCATCACTAGGTTAGGCTGAAAAGCAAAAAGAGCCATATATTTTTCCACAGATTCCTCATGATAGACAATTTGGGGTTTATTTTCTAGTGTTAAAGCAATTTTTTTATGAAATCCAAAAGCACTGAGAGGACATACATGAAGCACTGTTACACTAAGGGTTTATTCACACTCACCAGAAAGGGCTGTGTAACTGTCTTCCTTTGCTATTTGAGTACAACATTTACATTTGACAGACAAATTGAATATTCAGATCAAGAACCTCCATTAACCACAACACTGAAACTCTGCTTCCGATTCATAATATAATATTCCTAAATTAAATTAATTAAAAAACAAAAACAAAACCATTTTTGACTGCTTACCCCTAATGCTTTTGCGTGTTCTAAAGCATTCAGAAATTTCTCTAGGTGAACTATATCACCTTCTTCTGAATGATGGACCCAAAGTATTCCTTTAATTTTCCAAAGGAAAAAATGTGTTCACTTACATGATTTCTTTTGTTTTCTCCATCATTTATAGATGTAATAACTGTCTCAGAAAAAAATGTTGATCCAGTTTTGTTATCTGTAACCTGATATGGCAAAAGAACAAAATCTCAAATTACATTTTTTATTAGTCTTTTGCTACTCTCAGTCCTACATTCTGCAATAATTAACCCACCCCACCCTCTCCTTTTTTTCCCATTTTGCTGTCACTCATATAAAATCCTAATCTGGGGGGAAAAAGTAGATGACAAGGCTATCTCCTTATCTATTTAAAACGTCACTATAATGAAGCTAACTGAGCAAGAGATGGTCATTCTTTTATGACCCAGGTAATAGCTGTACCTGTGTTCTATTTTTAGCAGGCACTTTTTTCAAAATAAATTATTATTTCACATTAACCTTTTATGACATATGCCCCTACACAGTCATTAGGCAAGCAAATAAGATACAATAACGCCCCAAAGTAATTATCATCAGGAAAGTTTATGCTCCAAATTATGTTATTTCTCCCCAAAACATGCAAAATTTTTTATATTTTTGAAGAAAAGGTTGTGTAAGAACCAGCAGCTTGCTATATATGTTTTCTCATACCTTATCAATTTCTTGATGAGTCTGAACAGTTTTATTACCAATTCTGGTTTCTGTGTTGGACTCATTATGGTAGTTGGGAGGTAAGTTTTCAAAGTTTACTTCTGACAGTTTTTTTGCCCCTTCCTCTTCAGCTTCCATCTGCCAAATTTACATAAAACAACAATTAAATAAAGCAACGATTAAACAAAAGAGAACAAGCAACTCTTCATGTGCAGCCCTCTGTAACGCCCTGTTTAATTATGTGGTGCTGCTAGTACAGATCCCCCTGTATGGCAACACTTACTCAGCTGTTTCAGACAGTGATCACAGCAGCTCTTTTAATGGACTAGAAAAACAGTGGAGAGCTAAACCCTTTAGCTAAACCCTTTAGCTCTGGACTGTTTAAGCCAAAGTCAGTCCGTGTGAGGAAAAAGTGTGCGAAGACTAGTGACAATTTGCTATCTGCACAGGCTGATGCCGGTCAAGAGTCCAGCTTTCTATTTTTCCCAGAAAAACACTAAACACTTAAGACAGACTTTTCCATCTGACAAAGAAGAGAAAATGTTCTGGCAGGACAGAGAGACATAGCCAAAGCCCCTTGAAGTCAACAGAAGCGGTCTTACAGAGCAGGGTGCACACATCCAGAATTTCATTCTCTTATTTCAGCTCCCACTTGTCTTTGTTTGCCAGATGAAGACTCAACACAGGAGTCCTCTCTGAACCAGAAAACAGAGTAAGCTCAGCAAAAGGGCATGGGTCTTGCAAACAACACAAACTCTGAATTTGTGTCACTTCATTGTTTGCAACTGCTCTAACAGAGCTAGGAGGCCACAAGTTCAGCCAGGCTGAACAACAGAATTTTTCCCAAGACAAAATTTCTCTTTCTGGTGTGTCTGCTTATTTTAAATGACAGCTGCAAACCTTTTTAAGTGTAAAGCGTTTATCTGCTAAGACGCAGCTCAGACAATCCACATTTTGTGCTGTATACAGACCATTCCTCAAATCCAGAACTGACTACAGGAAGAGTAAAACAGGCAGAAATTTTGACTACATCCTTATTTCTAACTAAGCATATTTTTGGCATTGTAAAGAATACTTTAAAAAAATGGTTTGTCTCAATGGGTTTGCAGACTAAATGAAGTGGATGACAGAGGTAGATTTCAGCAGCTGCCCAGGTGACAGTAAAGGTTCAGAAATCACCTAGCTATAGCAAAGAAAGGCCTGTTTCCCCAGTGGGTTGTCAGTAAAAGGTTTTTTCAGACCATGTCTTTTTGAATGAGAGGAAAAGAGAACTTGGGAGGAAGATTTATAACATGAAGGAGAAAAAAGCGCAGAAGTAAGGGGAGTGCAGGAGCAAGGTCTTTCGATAGCGACACGAGGCAACGGCTCAGGGTCCAGGCTCAGTTCAGGCTTTGAAACAGGTCCTGGGCGACTCTGGGCGAGGAATTCGAGATCAAGACATGGAATTACACCAAAAATAAGCCACTTCTCCACACGTGTTTTCAGGACTGTCTCATACCTTTGAATCCTGCTTTGGGATAACCTCTTGTATCTTAGTTCCTGCTGCACTAAGACAATAAAATAACTCTTCACTCCTCCCCTTGCCACGCACTGTTATTTTCTCACTTCAGGATTCAGACGGACTACCTGCCTGCATTTTTGCCTCTCTATCTGCCTGCAAGAGGGTGGCTTTCCCATGCAGCGCCCGGCGCCGCAATCCAGACGCTCCCCCCGCGGCGCAGCCCGAGCCGCAGGGACGCGCGGCCG